TAAGTTTGACATATATAGATCCAAATTTTTTTTTTTTTTTTTTTTAAATAAAACTTATCTCAACGATTATCAATAAATTTACCGTTTCATTTAATATCAAGTGGATTGAAATGAAATTCAATCTTAAAAGCATCATATAAGTAATGTTTTCCAATAAGTAGATGGATTGTAACATGCTCAAGACTTTGAGTTTAGATGCAGTGTATTTACCTTTAGTGTCTCGTGAACTTCTCTGACTGTTCTTGCATCTTTTTTCTTCCTCCAGTTATGGCCATCCTTTCTGAAGAATCTCACCACCATCCGATCAAACAGGAAAAGTGAACCACCTAATGTGAAGAAAAAATACGATAAAACCAGATGATGAGCATTTTGCAATTAGATACGGGGCATAATCGTGTGAAGTTTCTTCAAATTGGTTAAAATCCAAAGTCTCCACTTTCCCCCTTCAAATAGAAAATTAAAACAAGTTTACAAATCATTTTGGAGAACTTGATATAAGAGAGAGAATCATACTTGGTGGCATATATGCAGGTTCTGGAGCAAGTAGAAACTTGTTACGATTGCTGAAAATTTCACAAATTTCAACCGGACGTAGCCATCGATGCTCTGCTTCTAATATTATTTGCTGAATATCCATGTCAATCAAAGCATAGCAAATCAAGACAAAGTCATCAACAATAATATGATGGAGGAGGAAAGAAAGCAGGGGCCGAACTTCGTTATCACTAGTCACAACTCCTTCAAACTTTTCTAAATTCTTTTTTTATTTAAATATAATTTTAATTTATTAAATTTAGGATAAATTTATTTTTAGTTTCTCAAATTTAAAGTTAATATTTTTAGTCTCTTTAATTTTAAAAATATTATTTTAATTCTTATATTCAAATTTTATTAAGAAATTTATTAAATATTATTGTATAAAATTTACTTATTGGTATTTTTATTAGTGAAAATATCACATTAAATCTAATTAATATTGTATAATTGTCTTAATTTGTTACTTCAAATATGTTATTAGTGATCTGAGAGATTAAAATAAGATTTTTAAAAATTACAAGGACTAAAAACAATAATTTTAAATTTGAGGGACTAAAAACAAATTTATCTTAAATTTGAAAGACTAAAAACATATTTAAACCTTCTTTTTTATATATACTCTTATATATATATATATATTATTTCTATATTATCATATTATTAATTATAATAAAATTAAATAAGAAAAATAAAAAATTCTATTATTTTTGTAATTAATAAACAAATTTAATTCATATGTAAAAAAAAATTAATTTGACAACTTCAAATTTTCTATCCAAATTCTGCCATTGAAAGAAAGGAAAAAATATATTATTATATTCATATTTTGTTAAGACATTGCGATTCCACTAAGTGTAGAGACCGGGGCGGGTCGTTACACGACATGTCAAATGGGCTTAAATTATTTGTGATGGTTTATCTAAACTTAATCTTATGTCATTTTTTATTAATAAACATTATAGAATTTCTTTATTATCTATTTCAAATGTTGAATGTTGTGATACTTGACATGATAGACTTGGAGATGTTAACTTGAAATCTATTAAAAGAATGATGACTTTTGATCTTATTCCTAAATTTTTTAGTGAATTGAAACAAAAAAGTGAAGTTTGTGTTCAAGCTAAACAACCTCAAAAATCTTTTCAAATTTTTGTTCAAAGGGAAACTTGTTTGCTCGAACTCATTCATAGTGATATATGTTATAGCAATGGTGTGATTACTCATGATGGAGAGAAACATTTTATTACTTTTATTAATGACTTCTCAAAATATTGCTATGTGTATTTGATAATTCATAAAAGTGAGTTATTTGATAAATTTAAAGTTTATAAAGTAGAGGTTGAAAATCAATTAGAAAGGAAAATTAAAATTTTTCATTATGATAAAGGGAGAATATTCTTCCAATAAAATGAGTGAATTTTTTTAATCACATGGTATTATTCATGAAATTACTCCATCCTATGCTCCTCAATCTAGTGAAATTGCTGAAAGAAAAAATCGTACTATGTTAGATATGATAAATGCTATACTTATAAGCTTTGATTTGCCTAATATATAATTTGTGGATTTACTGCATGTCATATTTTGAATATAATTCCTTATAAAAATCTGGATAAAATCTCTTATGAACTTTGAAAAAATAGAAAATCAAATTTAAAATATCTCAAAGTGTGGGGTGTCTCGCAAAGGTGAATATTCCTACAAATAAAAAAAGTAAAATTGGTCCTAAGACTATTGATTGTGTTTTTTCTTGGATATTCTTTACATAATACTTCTTATAGATTTTTAGTTATTAATTCTAAAGTTGCTAAATTTTCTAATAATATAATTATGGAATCTAGAGATGTTGTTTTCTTTGAAAATGTTTTTCCTTCAAAGAATAAATTGTCTAAACCTATCTCTGATGCTTATAGTTCTATTTTACCTTCTAGTAGTAATGTTAACAAGAACATTGCACCTAGAATAAGTAAAAGAATTAGAAAAGCTAAAGATTTTGGTCCTGAATTTTATTCTTTCTTACTTAAAGATGATCCTAAAACTTATAGTGAAACCATGAGATCTATTGATGCACCTTTTTGGAAAGAAACTATTAATGATGAAATGGATTCTCTTAAAGGTTATAAAAGTTGGTTTTTGACTAACTTTCCTCTTGGTTGCAAAAGTGTAGGGTGTAAATGGGTTTTTTTTATATTTAAAATTAACAAATTCTTAATACACTGTGTCAGTCAAATTGCTATTGCTAAAATTACTAGCAAAAACTTTAATGAATAAAGAAGACACAAGTTTATTAGAAATTTGATATCTCATAGTGTTATTTCTATTATTTTTTTAGGTCTAAAAATAATCTTGCTGATCTGCTCACAAAAAGATTAACGCGTCAACAAGTACTTGGATCGTTAAGGGGAATGAAATATAGCCCATCAACTAGTTGTAACAATAGACACCCCATCTCCAAATAAATGGCAATCCCATAAATGGAGTTAAATGGATAATAATAAATTATTTATTAACTAAAGTGCATCATTATAATTTGCAAAATTATTGCATGTTCCATTCATATAACAAGGTTTACTCCAAATTATATTGGGACAATAATAAGGTTTAGGTATTTAAATATTTATATTTATGTTAAAATTGAAAATACCTCTAATTTTTTTTGTTTATTTTAATTTCTTTATTTATGGAATGTTTAATTTTGTCTAAATATTTTTAAATGATTCAACTTTTAAGCGGTATTCAATATTGTCCTTTTATCTAAGTTTAGTAATATCATTAATATCAATTTGTACGGAATGATAATATTGAACATTTTAAAAAAATAATCTAATTAAACTATTTAAAATAATAAAATCAAATTAAATTTTAAAATAAATAAAAAATAATTTAGTCTATTAAAAATAGAGAAAGTTTCGCGTGTGCCTTTAACCAATGTCATGGACTCATGGGTGTCCCTTTTTGCACGGCTACAAAAAAAAATTTCTTTGCTGCGTTTGTTTTCTTTACTCTTGAAAAAAGAAAACCTAAACAATTTCCTGGCAAATCCTGCATAGACCATTGGTAAACGCTAATATATTTTAATTTTAATTTTAAATTTCCCTTTCTTTTTCTTTTTTTCAAGTAAACTTGAAGGAAAAGTTCACCCACTTGCTTCCATATCTAAAAAATTAAAAAAGTATAAGTGATTTGTCCATATTCATTCTGTCTCAAAAATCTTTTTTTTTCCCTGTAAAAAAAAAAGCTTACTTTTTCAACCCAAAGAGATAAAGAAGTCATTACACAATTGATGAACAAATTAGGCGGGCCGATTAAAGAAATAAAATTTTATAATAAAAGGGTCTCTTGTTACTACTACTATAATTAATAATAATAATAATAATAATAAAAGAGATATTTCATTTCTCTCTATATTTATTATTTTTATATATTAAAATAGTTGTAAAATAAAAATTAAGATTTGATAATAAATAATCATATAGACTGAATAATTAAAATTAAAGATAAAATTGTCCGATCAAAAGTGAAAACTAAAAAAGATGATAACTGAATATTATTTTTTTTAATTAGTATAAATCATTATTACTATTTGTTTTTTATTTATATTTTTGTAAAGATAGTTTATAATATCACTCAACGAGTTTATCAAATGGCATACATTGCTCCATTTCCAAACCAAAATCATCAACAAAACCAAACCAAAAAAAAAAATACATTGCTCCATTTTAAGCATTAGGCTTGAATTTAATTTTAAGTATGTAATAACGTTAGATACAAATATTTAGGGCATCTTTCATGGAAATAACTCATTTGAGTTGCTTCATGCATTGGAAAATAAAGAAAGTGGTCTCTAATGTGTTATGTCAGTATTAAGCAACTCAAACAAAAATTTACTCCAATGATAAGAAACTTTAAGAAATTCAACTTTTAGAAATTTTTTTCAAATCATTTATAAAACAAATTAAAATTTTTATTAAAAAGGACAATTGCATTACAATAAAAGAAAATAAATTATGAGAAAAAAATACACAATAAGTAGATATTAAAAAAAATAAAATAATAGTAAATACATAAACATTATACGAAATTAATTTTCATCATTATTATTTCCGAAACGTTCTCAAATATGTTCAATAAGATCTGCTTGAAGTTGGCGGTGTATTCGTTTGTCATGAACGTCTGCTCTCCTTTGAAGGTATGTTGTTCTAAAATTGGGATGAGTACCAATAGATATTTCAGATCTTGACATGTCATCATCTACACCATCATAATCAATATAATTTTGATAGGTGTCTCACTCGTCCTCGACAATCATGTTATGCAATATGATACATGCATAAATTATATTTTTCATTATTGCGGCATCCCAAAAACGTGCCAGACCTCGTATGATTGTGAATCGAGATTGAAGCACTCTAAATGCACGTTCTACATCCTTTCTCGTTGATTCTTGTCGTTGGGCAAATAATTTTCTTTTTTCCCCTATGGCATGGAGATGGTCTTAACAAATGCAACAAAGTTTGAATATATGCCATCTGCTAGATAGTAACCCATATTATATTGGGTTCTATTCACGATGTATTGCACTGTCGGAACAGTTCCTAAAAGAACTTCGTTAAATACATTAGATGCATTTAACACAGTAATATCATTCGAACCTGCAGTTCCAAAAAATGAATGTCAAATCCACAAGTCTTGTGATGCAACAGCTTCAAGAATGATTGTTGGGTTGGCATGATCACCTCGACAAAATTGACCTTTCCACGAAACTGGACAATTCTTGCATTCCCAATGCATACAGTCAATTGAACCTAGCATTCCAGGAAACCCACGTGCCTCTCCCATCCGTAGTAGTCGTTGAATGTCTTCGTTATTAGGGCGTCTCAGATACTCACCCCTAAATATTTCACAAATTCCTTTCACGAATCTTTGTAAGCATTCCACTGCAGTGGTTTCACCAATTCTAATATACTCGTCCACAAAGTCAGCAGGTGTCCCATAAGCCAACATACGAAGAGCAGCTGTGCACTTTTGCAACGGTGATAGGCCCCTTCTACGTGTTGCATCGAGCCTCATTCGAAAGTACTCATCATGATTGCTTATGGCATCTACAACTCGGAGAAACACATGTCGTCGCATGCGAAACCGCCTTCGAAACTGAGTTTCTGTGTATACTGGATTTTCAGAGA